GAATCATTGCTGGCCTTTCAATCTGACTTGATAGTGAAAAGCTGTCATGTGTATGATTAGCTTTTCTGCTTGTTTGTTTTACTTTTCTTTAATATATCTAAGTATTTTATATTTTACCATTCTGCCCAATACTCATTACAGAACATCTTGCCCATCTACATACATGTTCTGCTGTGTTTCTATTAAAAATATATCCTTCTGTAATATGATATTTCATCTGTAATTGCAAGGTCAGTTTGAACTGCAAGGTCAGTGGTTCAAACTCACCAGCCGCTCCTCAGAAACCCTGTACATGGTTATTATGAGTCAGAACCCACTCAATGGCACATAACAAAAACAAAATAACAACACACTGTGCAAATACACAAACATATATTTATGTGAAACAAGAAAGCAAATATATATATAATTACTTTTAAGATGGAGGAATCAAAAGTTTATTGAAAAATAGTTATTGAATTTCCCATGAATTAAATTGAAAATCCATATTTGAATTTTTGAAACCTCTTTGTAATTTTTTACCTGTCAATTGTTTAATAGAAGGTGCCAATTCTTTGATGAAATGGTAAGCACCACTGCTAACCAAAATATTGGCAGTTAGAACCCAGAGTCACTCCATGGAGAAAAGATGTGACTATCTGTGCCCTAAAGATTGTAGCCTAGGCACCTCCATGGATTCAGTGTATCCTATCCTGTAAGTCACTATCATTCAAAATGGATGCCATGACACATAACAAAATAAACATTCTTTAATAGTAGCTATTAGGTTATTTCTAACAGAACGTTGTCCAAATTTCTTTCACCGGACATGTCATCAGCAAATGTAAGTTGCTGTTGAAGGACTTTATAGTTGTTGAGGTTAGAGGTCAACATGAAATGAATGGAAACAGTGACTGCAACAATGGAAACCAACCAATGGCTATGAGGATAGTACAGGGCCAGACAACAGTTTGTTCTGTTTTACCTAAGGTCACGATGTATTGGAGTCCACTCACTGGTAGCCAAAAACAAAATGACCACTTTTTAAGATTGTCTTTTTCACTTCACCTGATTCTATTGAAGTTCACTCACATTGTTGAGTGCATGAATAGTTTGTCCCTTTTTATTGCTGAGTATTATTTTAAATTTTGAGCA